GTACACATATGCGGCTGTAAAAATTGAGCTTTGCACGGACATGCCCTGGGGGGTACGCTCGTACCTCCACGTATGGATGTAAGCAGGAGTGGGAGCTTTAGTGAAATAGCTTTTGAACAAGTGGACGGGTTGTAATGAAACTTTTTAGAGTAAATCCCATTCAAGATGGCTGCCACAGATAATCTACCTCAGCGAACACAAAAATGGTCCGTTAGCAAAATATCTCTTCAACCACTAGACAGCCTTCATTGCAACTGTCAGAAAGTAATCACTCCATAATGTTCTATAACTGATTAGCTTTTCAACCAAATTCAAGATGGCCGCCATAGCCGATCAATCTCAGCAAGTCAAAAATGTCTAACTCAGTCTGTTTGACAGATAATGAGCTGAAACTTGGCATGGTTGTAGGTGAGAGTTAGGCCTAGCATATTTGCTTACGTTTGGCATAAGCCTGTCTGTCTGTTAGCAAAATATTTATTTTATCACATAACCAACTTCAGTGAAACTCTCAGAAAGTTTGACAATTATAATTTAATAATCATCTACAATTGATTAACTTTTGTTATTGATCCATGTAAGATGGCTACCACTGCTGTTTAACACTTCTCAACATAAAATTGCCATAACATTAATTTAGCAGATACTGAGACAACATTATATGTGGTAGTAGCTGACAGTTATGCCTGTCATGTACACTGAGTATTAAAACATCTTGCAAGATCTAATATTACTGCATGATATGACGCATGGCGTCATTTACCATGTTCGATCAGAAAAGCTATATCAGAAAATTTAAACAGTGGCAGGGAGTATGCATTCCTCCAAGAAATGCTAGTGTTTCCATATTATTATTATTATTATTGTTATTATTATTATATTATTATTATTGCACTCTTTCTGACAGAGTATTTTTAAAAGAGCAAATGCATTTAAACAAGTAAACTTGTTACTGCAATAGTCATGTACTCGTTCATCATGAAATGCAAAAATTGACTATACTATACTATACAATACTATACTATAATATACTATACTTTTTATAGTATTTATACTATCTATATTACACAATACAAGCTATACTATACTATACTATATTAAATATACTATTGTAAATTTACTATTCTATACTATACTATTTTATACTATACTATACAATAATAAACTATATTAACTTTACTATTGTATACTATACTCTTTTATTCTATAGTAT